TGTTAGCCAACACATGGATGCTGGACCTGGAGTTACAGATGGTTAGGCACCATGTGGGTGCTGAGACTCAAACCCTAGTTCTCTGCAAGAACAGGTAGTGCTCCTAACCACTGAGCCATCTCTCTAGCCTCCATATCCAGCTTTTAGTATTTAATTTTAAAATATTTTTTATTTGAGTTTGTGTGTGTGTGTGTGTGTGTGTGTGTGTGTGTGCACGTGCATGCGCATGTGTCACAGCAGGCCTGGGAGGTCTGCTAAACAACTATCCATAACTCCAGTTCTAGGGGCCCCAATGCCCTCTTCTGGCCTCCATGGGTTTGCATGCATGGGTACACTTACATACATGCAGGCAAAACATTCAAACACTTAAAATAAAAATAAATAAATAAAATAAGAAAAGCTGGATGTTGTAACACACACCTACAATCCCTGCACTCAGGGGCCTGAGGTAAGGAGGCTAGCGTGGACCCTATGGTGAAGACATGCCTTGTGAAATGAAAGAGGACAGGACAAAAGAAGATAATTAGATATTAAAGAAGGAATGAAAGGGAAAAGATAAAAGACTAAGACAAGGAAATGTATTAAAAAAAGAACTGGGTGTGGTGGCACATCCCTTTAATCCCAGCACTCTAGAAGCAGACATAGGTGGATCTTTGAGTTTGAGGCCAATCTGGTTGATATAGGAAGTTCCAGGATAGCCAACTCTAGAGAAAGACCCTGTCTCAACAACAACAACCAACAAAAGCAAAAGAAAACAATAAAAATTTATATGTGAGTATTTAAACTGGTCATTCTGTTTTGTTTTGTTTTTATTTTTTGAGACAAGGTTTGTACTTCTGATCTTCCTGCCTCCACCTCTTGAGTCCTGTGATTACAAGTGTGAACCATCATGTCTAGTTTATGTGGTGCTAGAGATGGAACTTAGGATGTTGTACATGTTAGACAAGCAATCTACCAATAGAGTTACATCCCACTTAGAGGGGTGAGCTTCATGTGTGTCCTTGGAGGCATTCAACAGATATTTTAAATCTGTGTAAATATTTTTTTTCTTTTTAAAAATTACTTATTTAATAACCACATACTCAGAAGAATCATTTCATTACAACAGCATTGACATATTCAATAACAATTTCCAGAGCTAAGATGCATCTCTTTCAAAATTGGCTATAAATTTTTAGGTTTACAGTTGAATTATTACAGTTGTATAATATTGTACTCAGTATAAACCCTTTAAGCCATAAAATTAAATGAGGTTTAAACCTTTAAAAGAGATCTCAATTTCATTACTAAAATACACAGTTTCATACAGAAAAATTCATTTTTAATGCAATCGACATTAAGATGTTTGCACATGCATTTCTAATCTCTATATATCTGATTATTACTAGTCACAGTCGGTTATTTTCTGAGATCCTTGGCATCTGAGCATGGATATAAAGTCATCAGGTAGATCTCAATGATAATGTTTTTCACATCTACTAATTATTAAGGAGCATACCTGGCTTCCTTCTCTGCTTTTTTTTTTCATAGTTCATGATTTTATGTACATACTATTTCTTTTTTATCATTTAAAAGAAAATTTTAATAACTACATGATTAGAGGAAGCATTTCACCACAGCTTTAACATATTCAGTAACACACTCCAGAGCAAGAGTACATCTCTTTCCCAAGTTGCTAAAAGTTTCTAGGTTCACAG